GGTGTTTGTCTTATATGCTTTCACCTCACCTTCTCTAAAGGTTAATGAAAACTCTGCAAAGATGCTGCCTCTTGTAGCTCAGCCTCAGCTTTGTTTGGTCCTAGCTACTTAACTGGAAAAACTCTGTGTGTGTGTGTGTGTGTGTGTGTGTGGTGTGGTGTGTGGTGTGGTGTGTGTGTGTGTGTGTGTGTGTGTGTGTGTGGGTGTGTGTGTGTGTGTGTAGGTGTGTCTTGCTCCGCGTATTGGTGCTGTGTGTGTGTGTGTGTTGCTTGGCTACAGCTTTTTTTCTGTACCACTGAAACTTCACTGTAATAAGAAGGAAATGTTCTGTTATTGTAAGGAGTGCCTTTGTTGCCATTGCAACATTAAACATTGTTTCTGTTTTTAGTATAGCCACATTTTTTCATGGACACCACTCATGATACAAATACCAGGTTTAAGTGGATTTTTATGTTTGCTCTGGAGACATGTTTGCTCATCTGAGCTCTCTGCACTGGATCAGTCCTTTAGTCGTTTCTGTTCCTCTCCTCTAATCCTTTCCTTTCGATCCCACGAGTCCCTTTTCTCATCGCAACCAATTTTCCTCTTTTCGGCTGCAGGTTCCTCTTTTCCTTCCCCCTATTCACTCAACACCACTATCAGTGTGTCCAAAGGGTCGAACACACCCAAAGAAGTGGAAAATAATGCACTCACTCGAGTATCTCCCTCATACACAAACTCTTTTCAAAAGCCAAAGAGAGGTTACTGGAACATTGCTAAGCAACATGATAACATACACCAGTAGTTTCCAAAGATGTTGGAAGCAAAGCAATATCTACTTGTGACCCCTCATTAAAATTTGCATAGGTCTTAAGGTTGTGGCCTGTTGAACTAAAGGGCATTTTTTCCTTCATGGACTGAATCATTTTTAGATTGAAACAGTGAAAATAACAGAAATTCACACAAAAAAGCAAAAACGGAACAAAACTCAAATGTGTTTGAGGCAGTAGTAACAAGGTACAGCCACTACAACTAACTGCAATAGGCTGAGACACCTGTCAATCAAAAACCTTTCTAAAATTAAATCCTTAATGGAACATTGATTCTCAAAAAAGCCACCAAGGCACATAATAGGGAAGTGAAATTAACTTGTGACACCCCAATTTCTTGTGAAAAGAACAAATCTTTGTGTAAGTTCTTGTAAAAACAAGAAGAAAAAATCTGAAACTTGAGTTGAAGCACCAATAGACACATTTGTATGCCGTTGCAGTTGAATTGTCAGTTTGTGTGTAAGAAATATAAGTAGTCAAACTGTAAACTATGAAAGCAGTGGAAATGCACGTTGAAGGTGAAGCACCAGAGACGGTTTGAGTGTGTTCAGTGTAAATATTTAGTGTCAGTTTGTAAGCAATGACAGCTCAAATACTGTGATATTTTAACTGCTGTCAGTTGAACGGTGAGCTCTGAAAGTAGTTGAAATGTCAGTTTGAGTAACTGAACTGTCGGTTTAAGGGCAAAAATGTGTTGTGTCATTTCAGCTGCTTTGAGCCTTTTACACACCAGCTGTCGGTTAAGCTAAATTGTCAGTAAGTTCAAGAGCAAAAGAGACCATGAGACATCACTGCAGGTTTGAACAATTGACAATGTCTGAAAAAGAAAAAAGGTTATGATAAAGCTGAACTAAACAAGGCACTACCCTTTCCTCTCTTTATCATGTTAAAGTGTGAATTAGGTTTCTTCTAAAATATGAAGTATGAAGGGGTTGAAGGGGAGTTGTGAAAGGTCCAAATTACAGGAAAGTGTGAAAAATCTGCGGAAGAAATATGTTTTTGACTGGTAATCAACTCATGGATGTTTCCTAGAAATAAAGTGAGTTAAGGTCCATTATTCCTAATAGTCCTACTTTACTCAACAGCAGCCTCATATTCTTTTAAGCAGATCTCTTTTCTTCTTCTTTCCTGGAAGGCCTTAGCAATATTTAACCACTCACAGCATGTAAACTCACCAATGTATTGCAAAGATATGATAGGACACAGATTTTTAGTGCAGAGCACACACACTGAGGCAGAGAGTTTGAGGCACAGCGGTAATTGAAATATTTAATGGAAACCACTTACAGAGCATTCTCAGAGGATGTGGTAATAGACAATATTAGACACTGAATGTGCATATTATTTGTGACAGCTTCTGGTAGTGAGCTCTCTTGTCCTGTCATTACCTCCATTTCTCTTTCTGCCCTCTCTTTCATCCCCTCTGGCCTAATCTCATCCTCCTCTTCCTGACTTTTCTTCTTTCCTTTCTCCACCCTTGTCCAAATGGCTAGCGGTCTGCATATGACAAGCAGATGCTCACCATGCAAATATGCCTTTTAAAATCTTTGCGTCCTTTTATCTTTAGCCAAACAGATACACAGGAATTCAGCACTTTTTCCAGTCCTATATTTTAGCATTGGTGCAGCTTTCTCTGTATATCGGTTAATATCCAATTTATCAACTTGTCCAGAAGATTAATATCATCTACTCTGTGGAACGTGTAGCTGTACACGACATGCCATTGTAAGGTTTTTCACAATGACAGAGCTGACTTGAAATTATTTCGTACAAACTTGAATCAACTGCTTAAAAAGCGTGTGCCGCAGGGAGATGAAATATTCATTTATATGCACGCTTATACTGTGTTTGGTACTTTATTTGTGATTCTTCGTTGTTTATGTATGAGGAAAGCTAGTATGTGTATGGATCTTTTATATCTTACAGTATGTGTGTCTATGGTATCCTATACTGCAGAGGTTTTCTTTTATCCACACACACATATGAGAAAGGTTTCATAGAAACATAGAAACACCCATTTTAAGAATATGTGCTCTTCATTCTTTTGGTTAACTGGAAACTGCACTGTTCCTTTCATTGTATTTCTCTTTTTTTAACCAGGAACTGAAACATGTTTACTTCTCCTAATAACACATTCATTTTTGTTTTCTTTCCTCCCCTTTCCTCTCCTCTTCTTACCTCTCCTCACCATACCTTACCTTACCTCACCTCACCCCTATGCAGTCTCTGGGAAGAGAAGCGGTATCTGGAGAAAGAGAATGAGATTCGGCCGAAACCTGCTGTAAGTTCATCATTGCAACATCCAGGTGTAGTTTCAGAGACGTAGATTATTACTGCAGCAGCGGTCTTCAGAGGGGATAAATATGAGTTTTGCTTTAAGCCTCCATCCATTCTTAATCCCTCAGTATGAAGACTTGCCATTGGCTCTTTTTGGGGGCCGTTTAAATCAATGTGAAACTGAAACACTTTATATTACAAGCACCCATTCAGACAAAAGGATGAGTTTTAATCCTTGTTTTGTCTAAGCGGGCAACTTAAGTTAGTAATGGCTGGTAATCATCCACAAAGGCAACTGATGTAGCAGAAACACATATAGGGTGGAAGCATAATGTATTATTTAAAGGTTAAAACAAATATATCATAAACATATAAACTCACAGACAGTTGCTGATAGCATTCTCACCTCCTGTATGAATGTATGCCTCTGCTCCAACTCAAAGAAATGCAGTGTAATAATGTTCACACTATATTGTAATATACTTGTAATATTTATAGTATCGTTAATATACATGATTCTCTTTATTATGTGTGAAACAGAACAAATTTACAGTATAAATAAAAACATTCCTTCCTTCACATATTATACTAGAATCCCAGTTTCAGTATGTACCGTATCATGCTGTGGGGCATATTAATACTGTATCACTTTTATGATTTAGTCTATCAGAAGTCTACAGTGAAGTGCAGTTTGAGCATTTCCAACACTTGGATGGACATAAAAAATATGCAGTAGCTGTTGAATCATCAGCACTAAAAACTTCAGCAATTGTGTCGAAAAAAATCTGATCAGAGGTTCAAGAATATGAACATTAGACTCTTAGGGTAGTCTCAAGGAGCATTCACAATTCTCCAATCGTCGAACATAATCAAAATTCTGTTGCCTGTGCCACTAATGGCAAAAGGAGGTTAGAGTTGGAGCTTGATTAATAAATTCAGCAGCTTTAATACATTTTTTTGATCTTTGGCTACTTTTGGGGTTTAATTATGCAACTACCGTTTAATTACTGATTGCAATAACAAAACATTCCAGATGTACTACAGTTCTGCTCTCATGCCTCATTTCCATAGCATATTAAAACTACTGAGTCAAGGTGGCTCATGGGTGAACTAACAAGAAGAAAGCTGAGTAACAACCAATGGCCTCAACTCGGATGCCAGTTTGTTGAGTTGCATTAAAAGTGAACTTAGAAAAGTGAATTTACGTCAACAAAATACTTGTAGAACTAGTGACACATGGCGGTTTTCTACTCTATAGGGAGAAAGTATCGCAGTAAAACAGTTGCTGTGTTTTGACTGCTCAACATGAATCATCGAGTGGCAGTGTTGTGTGGACAAATGTATTTCACAGCTGCCACTCATGAACAATCCTTTAGATGTACAGCCCCACAAGTGTGTGGTCAAATAATGTTCAAATATCAACTAAATCACATCAACAGAAACTGCTACCTCTACCAGAACAGTTCAGGCAATGTATTCTGTTAATCTCACAGAGAGTGTATGTGTAAAAGGAACTTTTCCCATTAGACCTACAGCATTAAGTGTGATATTAACTTTAATGAAACACTCAAAGGCGCCCGGGGGACTTTGCATTCTTCTCCCTCTCTTCTCTCTGTCACACACAAACACACATATACACTTGTCAAACATGATTAATGAGCTATTTGTTTCATAGTAGAGGCCTCACATACATTTCTAATTGTTTTTGCTGTGGATACTAGAGGAGGGGAGGAAAAAAAAACACAAACTAGCTTTAAAGTGCATGAAATCTATCATGTTGAATGAATAACAGCTGGTTTAGTTGCAGTTGTTTATATTCATACTTATGCTTGTACAATCGACTCCATGTAACCCAACATTTTTTAACAATGGGTCATATCCATCTTTGTTGTGCAGAAAATGATGAGAATTCAGTTTTGGGCATCAAACTAAAACTAGTTATAGTACTGAAACAACTTTACTTAAAGGACTTTTTCATCATCAGACATTTAAAGACAGAATTTTGCTTTTTGAGACAAAAATCTATGATAATAAAAAACTAAAATCCATGCGAAAGAAAACAAAGACCCTGAGAGGTAGGATCAAACAGTAGTATTTTGCCTGTGCAGCCTGAGGTCAGTTAAACACTCATCATTGAACTAATACTCTTCATAAGTGATGTAATGCTCATGCTGCTGTTGGGTCCGCCAGGAGCTGGAGAGCAGAACAAAGGCCCTGCAGGACAAATACGAGGATCTGAGGAAAGAGGTTGCCCAGAGACAACTGGAAGTCAGGTATTTTATCTAACTGCTGTTCAGAGAGCACACATGCAGTTTTCTCACATTACCCTGCAGAATGATAGAGGTGTACACTCTGTCTTCATGACTTTTTTCTTTTCGTGCTTTTTTTAAATAGAATTTCTGTTTCATTCACTGTGCTTTTATTGTCCGTTTAATAAGTGCAGTGCGGCTGAATATTTTAAGTTCTGTTAATCGAAATTGTTCCGATAAGCAAACTTTTCGTGTGTCTTGCCCTCACTCCCTGCGCAGAGGCCTGATGGAAGATGTGGAAGCCCATGAAATGCAGATATTGAAAGAACAGAAAGAGCTGGAAGACAAGAAGGAGATCATAGAGCTCAAAGAGGTCTGTGTCTGAGCGCGTGTGTGTATGTGAGAGTGGTGCTTACAGCTTACAGCACACCATCAATAGAATAACAAATCATCAGTCTTTTTACAGTGTGTGTGTGTGTATATGTGTGTGTCTTTGTGTGTTGTAACAAGGCTGAGAAAGCCCAGCTCATCAGCATACCTGACCAGATTTTAAAGGAGACCGAACGGAAACGCTCTAAGAGGGGGTAAGTATATTTAACCCCTTAATACTCTTTATTGGGTAAGAGCAGGAAAGTTAATGATTCAAACACCAGGAATAAAAATCAGCCAGTAACACTGAGAAGAAAAATACGGTAGAAAGATCTTTAGAAAATGAAGTTGCCCCCTGATTTGTACAATCCCTCCGTGAGTTAGCTCAAATCCTTCTGTAATCTGTCTCTTTCCTGCTATACACAAAAGAGCTGGATTTAACTGGATAAACACTGAGTTATTGTACTGTAATTTTCATAATGGAAAGAGCACATTCTACTAATTGTTTTTGCTTAGTGTAAACTTTTGATCGGAACTCCCATGGAGTAGAAAAACAAATACAGAATCTGGGCAAAACTGAATCTAGAGATCAGTTTCTTCCTTTCAATTTTCCTCCAAGAAGTATTGGCTTTTAGCTTTATACTCATCGTTCGGTTTCCTCTCTGTTGCTACAAACCTCATTTGGACTAAAATATGCAACTTACAGTCAAATTCTTCTTAAGAATTTAAAGGTGTCAATACTTCTAATTTAATTTTGAAAAAGAGATATTAATCATCAGAGATAATTAATTTTTGTTTTAAGTGCAGCTGCAGTCGGAAGCCTGTTCATTACCAGAGAATGGTTCCATTCGCCGCTTCACTGCAGTCTCTTTTATGTTTATTTCAAATTAATATTTGGCTTGCAAGTGATGCAGTGCAGCTGTCTGTATGAGCCATGTGAGCTACGGCTTGTAATTTGAAATTCACAAAGCTGAGGGGTACTGGGGGGTGTGTGTAAAATATGGATACACATGCTGTTATTTCATAAGATATGCACTCTTGCAGTGCAAGTGACGAGTAATAAACTGATACTCCTGGTCTTGTACAGTGCTTACCCTTGTTCTTTGATTTGAACATATCATCGTATGATTTTAACATATCATCCTTCTAAACACATTAGAGCTGCACTGAGGAAGATGGAAGTGCTAAATACAGAGATTTCAGAAATGGAGCAGCAAGTGAAGGAGGTGGAGCTGCATAACCACTCCCTCAGGTTGAAGAAGGAGGAGTTGAACGAGGAGCTGCTGGGTCTCCGGGCTCAAGTCGAGGCCAGTCAGAGGGAGTGCAGACAGCTGCTGAAAGAGCAGGAGGTCAAAAGGGAGGAGGAGGTGGAATTAACAGGGAACAGGTACTAACTCCTAATACAGTCAATAATGAACACAATGATGACAGCACTCCAACAAAAAATAATGAGTTAAATATATTAACATAAAAAATCTTTGTGTTTTTTATCACCAGAGGTATCCTGGAAATGAAGTTGCAGAACATCATGTGTGACAGGAAGCACCTGTACGAGAGCCAATCTGTGCAGCTCAAAGAGAAAAATAGGTACCAAAGTGAAACTGAGTTGCATTGTACATGTAAATGAGTCCCCACGTATCAATACACACTGTACGCAAGGGCCCTTACTGGACACCTTTTTATATACTGTATATACAGTTTTGTTAGCTCCTTGATGTACTTTCAGATACAGCAAAAAATCTTACACAGTGGATTAGTACAAGTTAAACAAAAAGTTCAGAGTACATCTGAGAGTAATCCATATATAATGAGCCTAATTTGGAGTTTCCTCAGTTTGTGTAGGAGGCAAAGCCTTATGATGATGATAAATATTTTAAAGGTGCCTGTGTTTCTCCTCAGGCAGATGCAAGCCCTCAAGAGGATGGAGCATGTGTTGACCACGGCCACTGAGCAGCTAGAATGCACACAGTCCATCTACAATGAGCTGCAGGCACAGGTGACCTGTAGATTACATTCATTTATAGGTCAGCTCTAATTTGAAGCAGTTGGAATATTCATGAGTGGTCTGCCATCTTTTAGCACCTCAGTGCTTCTGTTATTTTTCATAAAAATACACTCCAATTATGTTTAAAAAAATTTAAACCGATACCACTAAACCTCTCATTGCTAAAACACACTCCTCCTGGTTTGCAACATTATGTTTTTACTGGTATTGGCACTTGGTTAGGAACATTGGCTGGGAACACACACAGGTGTGGGAACATTTTGAGTGTAAATGTCATGGTGACATTAATCAGCCCATAAAACTCTTAATCTGCATTACACCAGAAGTATTCATTTGTATTCTTCAGCTTCCTGTAATTTTACTGATGTTCACAGTTTCTAAAGAGAAAATGGAGGGAAGAAGAAGAGGGGGATAGACATGGGAAATGTGTCAGCACATAACAGTATGAAAGGAAATCACTATGATATACCAGGGAATTCACACATTGAGGAAACATTGAAAACAAAAGCAGTTGTACAATATGATTCATTCATTTCCATAATCTGTCAATCAATGACGACTCTCACATGAACAATTACTCATAATGAATTTGAATGTTAAAGCTGTTTAGATGAGGATTCAACCGCCTGTGGTTTTACCACAAAAATGCTTCACATTTATCTCAAATAAGATGTGATGGATGGGTTTGATATTTACACAATGTTGTGTCCTAAACTTTACACAGCATGAGGCCTAACAAGGACTTAAAATAGTGATGGTATTCATCTATGTAGCTGAAATAAAATTGTGGTATTGCAACTCTTAAACCTACTGATTTAGTCGTATTCCACTTCAAGGGACTAACAATTTTTAAATATGGAGCAATGTAGCTCCTAACACTGAACACAAGGTCTGGCAACCCTGCAGAGAGGGGCAATCCCAGCGCCTGAAGGCATTCATATTTTATGAGTCTCAGTGAGCACTTTCAGTGTCACTGCATCAAAAGGCTATCAGAGAAGCTCTGATATATAGTATTAATTATTTTGCTGTCAATGTTTAATGTGGGGTTGAATATGCACTGACTGAATTTGATCAGAAGTTTGTTAATTTTGTACTGGATCCTTGTGGTATTTCCTTTTTAATGGCTTACAATTAAAGAAACAAATGATAATACATTTTTACAGCTTTTTATTAATATCCAGGACTGTCTTACTGCGGATGTGTATGCACACTGAACATTTGAACAAACTTTGTTTTGACTTTACATTCTGACTTGAATTCCTAGTTAGATGCTCTTCCTAAAAGAGAGGCCAGTATTCAGCAGAGGATGGAGCTTCAGAAAGAGGTGGATGCTCTCAAAGTCAGCTTTGAAAAACAGGTAGGAACAATGTGCGTGGGTGGACACGATATCATTAGCAACTGCAAAATGTATTGCAATTTCCTGCAGTAGCCCTCTAACAAATCCATCAGTTTGAAGCCTATAATTTTTTTCTTTTTTGTTGAAAGTGTGACAGCAAAGTGTTTATGTGTTTAACTCTCTTAGTTATATATGTCTGAAAAAATGAAAAGAAGTAAAAAAAAAAAAAAGAAAAAAAAGTAAAATTTCTTTTGATATTTTTCCTTTTTTAGTATCTTCAGAGTTAGGATGAGAAAATAATGAAATGGGAAGTCCTTCTATGTCACATAGTTGGACAAAACTTTAATGACATGGCAAAGGTCTGCCCATGCTTCAATATCTTCCTGGTATTAAATTACTTTTAGTCCTCTTTGTCACATTCCACTGTCACCCTTCAATTGCAGTCAAATTGTAACCCTGTGCCTGAAAACTGAAAAAGTGAAATGTGTTCAACCAGCTATCAGTAGCTGAGGAGGAGAGCCAGAAGAAGCAGCAGTATGGGGTGATTCAGGGGCTGCTGAGGGAGTCAAACTGCCTCAGAGAAGAACTCCATAACCTCAGATGTCTGACACAGATCAAAGCCGAGGAGAGGGGCCAGAAGCACCGTGAACTGCTTAGAGCCGAGGTGCAATACAAACGCACACATACAACATACAACACACACACAAAGGTTAATTTAAAATAGGTTTTGATGTCATCATTAGTGCTTTTAATAACTTGTGCAGACATAGACACGCACATTTTACACATAAATGTGTCAAAAAACATCAAAGAGGAACTGAAGTAGGTTTATATTTTAGGCACACTTGATGTTGGTGTGACAGGAGCAGGGCAGAGCAACCAAAAATGACACAATTTCAAAGAGTGCAAATGTCGAGGCTTTACTGCCCTAACAATATTACCGTCACCACAGTGGGATCATTTCAGAATCATTTGAAAAAATATAGAGGGACTAGGCAATTTTAGTTTAGCTACATTTGAGATAAGGTCTAAGAGGGACATTTTTGGGCAGAAATGACTTATAAATGGACTCCCTTTTCACATTGCTTCAAACGAGATCCTTCCTTTCTACTGAAATCAAAAGTAGCTATTTTTTTCCCCCTCCAAAACATCCTAATAAAGTATCAACTACAGATTCATGGAGTCAAAATGACCCAAGCAGTCCTGGTTTAGTGAATTCATTGATTGATTTTGGAGCTGATCAGCTAATTTATTGTTTGTTTTTACACATTCAAAGTGGTAGAAAAGAAGCAGCAGCTGCAATATAAAAAAAGAAAATTATACCCACAAATATGATTGACGGTTGATGTTTGTGAGCACACAAACATAAACACACACACACACACACACACAGAAGTGATGATACTGTAGTTTTACCTGTGTAACTCCATCTACAGCAGCTGAACCAGCACATCCAGCAGGAGCTGCTAGAAAAGGACTTGATCATCATGGACCACAACAAGCTGAATACTATGCTCCAGCGCAGGTGTCACTGCTGTTTTCTCTTTTTTATTTCCTTGTCAGCCACCTTTCATTAAATGCAAAGTTGGGTGTCACAACAAAGAGGATTTTGCTTACAGAGAAGGTACTAAGCTTTTAATGCAGTAGGTAGTATTAGGGCAAGCAACTTCCTGCTCCCTGCCTGTCTCTCAGTCTTAGTCCCTCTCTCTTACTTTTTCTCTCTTTGCATAATGTGGAGATGAATCTTAAGATTTCATGGCACAAATCTTTTCAGAAATGTCATTACAGATAACTTTTTTGAATAATATGCAGCGGCAGTATGGTAGTTCTGCATACTGGGTCAACTGGTCAGCAGTGTGGGCAGCAAATTGAATTCCTGTATACAGTATATCGATGTGATAATAGATTCCCTAGTTAATTGTTTGGCTCCTCTGATCTGTGTAACAGCTTGGGATCACAATTAATTCAGACATCTGCATCTGTTGTCTGGCTAGAAAACCATAACTTACTAATTGGTCATACTTCAGTGTTCAGATGCAGACTAATGCATCTGGCACCACCCAGTACAACACTAGACTCACTTGCAGTACATTCAGTTATGTCACGACCAAAGACTACAGTCTGATGCGGTTGCACTTGACATGGAACTCGCTCAGAAAACTATCTAGTCAAGCGCAAACAGGACAGGAAGATAATTAGATATTGTGTATCTCTTCTTTGTACTTGTGCAAAAAACGTTCTATATTTAGCAATCATTGTTCACAACTCGCGTCTTACATGGTACATTTTAAATTAAATGAAATGTCACACTGCGTTAGACTTTAGTTCTGTCATAACAATTTTTTGATTCACTGATAATTTGTGATGAACATAGTTGATTTTACACTCTAAGATTACATTACATTTATGTCCACATTTCTAAATATCTGTCAGCTATTAACAACAGCCATTAGCTATGGATATAAATCCTACTGTATATAATTCCTATAGTAGCTAGCAGGATTATAACAAAGAATAAACAGTTACCACTAGTTGGAACAGACCACTGTTATGAATAAAATGTCAAAAACCTGCTCTTGATAGGAGCCAGGTCTTCGTCAAGAACAGGCTCAGTACTAAACAGTGTTTCCGTCCTTAGAGTATCACAGTATTGTAAGCTGTGCCACATGATCATGGAAGAGAAGAATAAGTACGTCAAGCTGAAGCAGATTGCCTCACAGACAATCACAGAGCTGACGGAGCAGGTGAAGGTGCAGGAGAATGAGACGGAGATCCAACGTACCATTGTCATCAACAAGGACAGGTGTGTACATGTGTTTCGTACAGGGAGGGTCGTCTATGTTAGCTTTATTATAATACATACTAATGCAGTAAAGAAGGCATAGACAATAATAATGTGAGTTATATTTATTAAGATTTCATTATTATCACTTGACCAGTGCATTTGTTTGGTAATCATCACATTTCTGATATTGTTTCTTTCCAGATCACTCACAAAGGCTCGTATGAAGATCTCTAATAGCTCCAAAATGAGGGACAAACTGCTCAATGACATCTCCAAGGTCCAAAAACACACACACATACACACACAGCCACACACAATTAGAGGTGATACCAGTCAAAACTCACTGTGGGAAACACACTGAAACCATAAGCCAGTATCAGAAATTCAACAGTTCAACTAAACAGATTAAATATGTTATAATGACTAATGTGATTAAGGGGGCCCAGAGTTGAACTGACAAACTGAGTCGAAGCTGCTGTAGTTGTTTTGAGTGAGCTCAAGAATTCTAGCAGAGCTCTTAAACCTTGTTTTAGACAGCTCTAGAGTTAAGGAGGTAAACCCACATCCAGTTCCCCTGTATTTATCTTTGCATTACTGCTTAAGAGTCTTATGAAACACACAAAGTTTAAAACTGAACTTTTGTGATGTCTACTCTAAGTTGTTTCTTAGTTGTTTTGAAGTCAGCCTAGTACCATGTTACAACAGAAAGAGGAACACAACGGCAGTTAAATGCAAAAGGATAAACTGTATTTACAAAAGAACAAAATGGCTCAGAATGACACGTAAGAACTATCAAGCAAAGCAAGAACACGCACCTAACAAATGTCGTTCAAAAGTGTTTTTTTTTGTTTGTTTGTTTGTTGTTGTTTTACATCTTCTAGGTTGCCTGGAAACAACGTCAGATCAGTCAGGAGTGTGAGGACAACAAACTGGAGTTGATGAAACTCACACAAATGATAAACCTTCAGGAGAAATCACTTCTGGAAATGAACAAGAATCATGAAACGGCCATACAGCGCCGCAATTTACTGTATGTATATTTAGGAGGTTACATAATGCATACATTCAAGTAGAAGATCTAAACTATATGTCGAATAATGTTTGTGTGTGTGTGTGTGTGTGTTACCTACAGTGGCATTCAGCTCCTGGAGCATGAGGAGGTGTTATTGAACTACTATGAAAAGGTGAACATCCAGGGGGCGGCCATTACGAAGGGCAACATGGCGCTGGAGACCCTGGAGAAGGAGATGAAAGACTTGCAGTTGACGATTAATGAGGAGAAGAGACAGATAGACCTGAAGAAAAAGGAGGTTCCACTCAATAAAAAGTTGGAGGGAGAGATCACCATGCTGCAGATAGAGGTGGGAGAAGTATACCACATAAAACCTACGCACTCAGACACATCCTTACAGACATTAGCAGGCAAACAGCCACAGTTCAAAAGCCTTTCAACATCTGAACTCCCTCATAATCTGCCGTTAGTCACCTTCACCAAAACACCTTAACAAAAGAAGTAAATCCACTAAACTTTCACAACTGCAGTAATTACTTGAAAAACAAAAGGTGTGGGTGGAAAGATGTCTGTGTACTTTAAAATAGTTGAGGATGTTTCATGGAAATCATTCATTAAAATCTTCTTTCTGTTGTGTGAAGAGTGTTGACAGTGTCCTGGTGACAGTCTCTTAACGCCCACTTCCCCTTTCACTGTATCGTCTCTCATTCCTTGCCAACAAGAAATGAAAACTCTATTAATAGACCCCGCTGTATAGTCCCTAAAAGTTTCAGCAAAGTACAAGTTTATTGAACAGTTTTGTGCTCCTTATTTAGGTCTAGTGTGTTAGGTCTATCCTCCTCCAGGTATGGTGTGTCTTCTATAGCGCCCCTACAGTTTCTCTAAAGTGCCTTTGCTCATATATCCACTAATTTGTGAAGATTTTGCTTTCGGTTATGCCGCTGTCCACATTTCCCCAGTGTCCAATCACAGCTTGACCCCGACTACATCTGGATGTGGCCTAGCTTATTGATTTCAAAATCCTATCTGAAAGCAGTTAGGCCTGTCAATTGACCTTCCTGGTGTAATGAGATGGTAAAAGCACTGAAAAAAACAAATTGTGGGTGTGGGTGCAAGAACTTCCTTGGAAAATTGCAAATTTGGTGTGTGTGTTTGTATTCATGTCCAAGTCCAAACAAGACACTTTATCCAACAGTGCTGCAGGCCATTGTCCAGCTGTGTACGTGTGTGTGTGTGTGTGTGTGTGTGTGTTCCTGCACGCTGTTAAAAAATTTTTTAGACATTTATGTGATTTATGTAATGTCAGTGGAGAGTCCTCATAGGATCTTGTAATATCAAATGATTGTGTGTACCTGTGAGTTGTATGTGTCTAGTGTATTGCAAACTATTGTTCAACTGTATGTGTATCTTTGTTAAGTAAGGGGAACTCCAAAAAGAACAGCTGAGTACAAGCTCCAGAAGACAATACTTGCAAATGTGCAGACACCAGACATTTCACTCAGAGCACTACTAATGAGCAGATCTGTTTTTGAAATACTTTCAAAGCTTCACTGTATAATGAGACTTCTGAATTGCTCTAGTGTAATGTACTAGGCTTTCATTTCAATCTTATGAACAGAGTCAGTCTTCATATCTACTTCACTTACAGTAAATATGAGTGAGAGTATTTATTTTGACGATATTCCAGATGGATTTTATTTCTTTATTTCTATTTATTTTACTGCGAGCATGAACACATCCTCCATCACTTCCCCAAAGAGAACAACACTGTAAGAACTGTACATTTGTGAGAATGTGTTTTTCCTCGGTTTGGACACCGTTACTGTATTCTAAGCTGTGTTTGATCACTCATCATCATAGCTGGTCAATATTATCCCTATTTTCAGAGGCTTCATTGTGTGGTGGTGAACTGATTGTGGTCGGACATTCTCAGAGGTTTGAATAGAGACAGAAACGCTACTTTTGCCAACCAAACTATACAGACAGAAAGAAGATGAGGTTCTAAACCAAGACCCAAACAACCTCACACTGCACAGTATTCACTGAGACAGACTGCGACACATGAATAAATAACATAAATATACAAACACATTCAACAGACTTGGCAATACATAGAGAGTGACAGACACATAGAGGGAGAGAGAGATTTGAGAGAGGCAACACAAACGCACACACACACACACACGCTGAGTTTCCCTGCCAGTTGCTGCGTCGTGGGATTGGGTGTGTTGCTGCTCTGGATCAGAGTGACTGGTTTTGACTCGCTGTTGGACCAGACTTCTCATCTGAGTCTTGTGCTCTTTTGGATGAACGCAGTGTTGGAACAGACTTCACCATGTGCTGCTTTTTTGAAAAACGCCCCTTTCCCTTTTCTCCATCTGTTTACTCCTTCTGCTGTTTATCATTTGCTACAAGAGGCCTTGTTGGTGCCATCATTTTTTTTTTCACTCTGATTTTCTATTGTTTTTCTCATGTTGGTTTTGTTCTCTTTCCCTCACCTTTGTCTGACCGCCCTTCCTTTAATTGTTCCCTCAACACATTCTTAAGGTTTTTGTTTCAGTGATTATTTATTTTTCCAAAAAGTCCCTTCCCAATCTCCATTCCTTTCTCACATTATTATCTTCTCCCTTTTCTGACTGACCTTGCGTTTGGCTGTAGATACAGAACATTCCTACCTTCTCTCCTTTTTAGCTTTGCAAGTGGTGTGGCTCTATGGGTGGTTGGTTGGTCGGTCCACCACTTTCACCCAGACTGAAATATCTCAACAATTGTCGGATGGATGGCTGTAAAAATGTGTTACCTGTAGACATTCATGATCCTCAGAGGTGAAATCCTAATGGCTTTAATAAACCTCTTGGTCCTCTTGCACCACCATTAGGTTGACATTTTGAGGTTTTGAGTGAAAAATCTCTAACTATTGGATGGATTGGATGAATTTGGTACAGACTGTAGACTGTATAAAAATCCTCCCACTGTATTAAGCCTAAGTATCCTGGATTTGGGTGCTGCCATCTTGTTCTGGTGTCATTTGGAGTCTGCACAGTAGTGATCGGGGTTGGAGCCACGGTGTCGAGGTCCTGCCCATACAACCGGCCAACTCACGACCAGGGACCAGCTGTCGATCATATGTAAAACCCTTTCTTTTTTTTTATAGAATCAAATAACTGATTAAACCCAAATGCATCAGAAAAATGAACACTCATCAGCATACCTCATCTTTCTCACCAAACCACCTTTGGGGAAATTTTTTTTTGACATGTACTTTGATTTTTTTAGTTTGGCTAACATAGAGGTGGCAGAGTTCTATAATGCAGCCAGCCCCCGGGGGCAATTGAGATTTTAATTTGAGCTTTACTCCTGGGAAGCTGTTATGTCATCCCTCAGGATGCATTGTTATAACTTTGATGATCTCTCAACTTTTCATTTAGTGCCACCTTCGGGTCTATTTTAATATGTCCAGTACTTTGGTTCATAACTATAAACCTGGAAAACAATAATGCCATTTTGTCCTAATTTGCAAATGTTTACACACTGAACTAAGATGATGAACATGGTAAACATCACACCTGCTAAACACCTGTAAACAGTCCTTGTGAGAATGTTGGCATGCTGACATTAGCATAAACTCACTAGTGTGCCTAAGTAGAGCCACACAGAGCCGTTAGCATGGCTGTAGACTCGTGTTTGGATACACATGCAACTCCTGGAACTTTCTAACGATCAACAGTTACATCCCTTATTAGTTGAATCAATTCTGTTCATCCACCCATGCGTTCATCCATCCACTCATTCCGTATTTGTCCCTCTCCTCTGTGTTTAAATAGCAAATCATTCTCTAAAACGCTGTTTTCTCTCCTACGGCTGCTTAGTTCCCCTGGGTACAAAAAAAAGTGAATCACAGGGGTCTCTCTTACTGCAGGAAGCTTGCCAACTCAATTCATTCTCCCTGCGAATTCATTTTCTATGCGAATTCAATTTCCATGCAGCTGCCTTGCTGTCGATTTATTATATATATTGTGTATTTGTATTCATCTGTGACCAGTTTATCTGTTCTTTGCAGACGGCCCCCCTCCCTTTGATGGGGAATTTTGACAAAGATAGATCGGGCCATCTGTGAGACTATTGAAGTTCAATATACTCTGAGGCTTTCATTTGCTCTGAGGAATTTTAATTGCTGCAAAATAAACAGGTTGGTGTTGGATTCTGAATTTACAACTTGTTTATGAGTTGCTGGCACGTCGAAATCTCAAACACACATACAGGTGCACGTGCATCAGCACACACACTGAGACGAGAGCAGTGTTTGTGAAGTTGTGATTATACCATTGCAGCATCTAAATATCGTTACAGTCCTCTGTTGAATATTTATATACATTTACATGGACACAAACATACACACATTGATATATTTATAGAATACATACGCAGTCAGTAATAGAGTAGGATTTATAATGGGGTGAGGCTGACATACTGCACTGTCCCTACAGTGGTGAGTCATATTGTTTGTCCCTCTCTTAAATCTTTGTCCAACCCGTCTGGAACTTATTACGGCGGGAAAACCCGCCTTGAATCGCATCTTGTGCAAGTAAATCTGTTGTTATATGTGAGAGACTAAAGTGAGACAGGTAGAGAGCAAGCATGCACGCATAAATAACAAAAAGGCAGATAAAGCTGTAACAACAGTGCGTTGTGTGCATGAAAACTCCGCTCTGCAGCCCTTGAAAGTCTGTAACTCGCCTCTAAAATCTGACTTCTCTTCACACTGCTGCCTAAATGCCCGAGAGTACTCCAGCTCGCTGACTCAAACAAGTGTTCAGAGGAGTTGGCATGTAGCCCAAACGAAGTAATGACAGTGTCACAGCAGTCCAGCCTTGACGTCTTTTTGTAAGACCACCAGTAAGTTAGCTCTGCTCAAGATTCCCACGGCCGATTTCTGCACTGGCTTTAAAAAGACATAAAGAAAAATGCTTTTTCCCCTACATTGCACACCCTGACTGCTAATATTCACAGCTGGGGTGATAACTCTAAATCATATGCACTCACTGATTATTTAAGGTCATGCATGGCCTGGCCCCTAGTTATCTTTATTTTAAAGTCTTATGAGCCGGGATGAAGCTTGAGGTCCCCTGCAGGCAGGAACCTTACCTTCCCTTATAACTATTTCTGTATCCCAGAGACTGAAAGTGAAGCTTTTGTTGTCAGGGGCTTCAAGGCCGAGGAGTGATTTGCCCTGAGGAATTTAGGCCAGCAGAGTCAGTATAACCCTTCAAATCTCTTCTTACCACAAGATATGTATTTTGACCCTTAACTTTTAATATATTTTTTATATCTGTTCTCATTTATTTTATGTTTTTATTAATTATTATGGTTGGTTGTATGTCTTCCATCACTAAACCCTTCAGAACTGGCCCCGCTGCTCTTCTCAAACCCAGCATACTTTTTCTTTTCTGCTGTTCTTCTCCAGAGCAGCGTTACTTCAGTTTTACATTACCAGTGTATATCAGTTAACTAATATTACATGTGTTTCTAATATTATGTGACCTGCTGTCGAATATTTATGTAGAAGATGCGTTAAAATGCATATTTTCATATTTAATTATAATATATTCCTCATTTGGGGCTTATTAAAGGTTCAGTTCAGCTCCTCTGCTCGCATGTTCTGCTAATTAACCTTACATAACCTTATTATGATGATGATTTTAGTGCTGCTTTACTTTACTGACCTTTCTGCTTTACTGATCTGTCCCTTTGTCTTTTATCCCTTTTAATTGTGAGGCACTTTGTAACCTCATTTTGGAAAGTGGTTTATAAATAAGGTCATTATTTATCTTTATTATTATACTGTTAAGCATTCAGTGTCCCATCTATTGTGTGGCTTTTAAAGCCATCATGCTAACTATTAACTGAGCAGAAATTATGTAAATGATATGCAAATTGTATTCTGTGTAGATATTGTCACATGTACAATGCTTTACAGCATTTATGAGCCAAGAAAGCAGCTATTCTTTGTGACTGTCAGATGAAGAAAACAGAGAGGCAGGCAGGCAGAACAGAGACACTGACACTGAGACAGATGAATACTGAGACAAAGACAAACATCGGCGTATAACAGCGGGAGGAGGACAGGTATAAAAATGTTAAGACAGAGGGCACCACGGAGAAAAAAAAAAGATTGATTGAAGAGCAGAGAGAATAGGAGAGTGACAGAGATGCGCTGTATCCCATCCATCATGTGGTGTTTAAATGGCTTAGGGTGGATACATATGAGGGTGGAACACAGATCAATCAGACTCAGAAGTGAGGAGTGGGCACACACTTGTCTCAGTTGGGTATTTGCAGATTCTGACGTAGTCTGAAAAGTTCGTCTGCATTTAAATCTTTGAAATAAATTAAACCATTTCTTATGCAGTGAGGTTTCTATATCAATTAGTAAGCTTAACAGTCAAAACAAACACAAAGTATTTATTTATATCCTAATTTCTGATTATACTGAAGTTGTAATTACCAAAAGAAGAATTTAAATGTAATCAGTTTTTCTGCCATGATGGCATTAGTACATGGCCTACTAAGTGAGGATGTTAGCATTGGTAATTTGAAAGCGGTAATATCAGTGTGTGTGGTTACTGTCTGTGTGGCTGTTGGAATTACATACAAACTTTTGAGTCCTGACATTCTTAAGGGAATAGTTTGACATTTTCTCTTTAATGCTCTGATTTAAAAAGGATTCCACAGATTGATTCCACATAGCTGTGACAAGCAGATTCAAAAAAGGGAGAAATAGCTAGCCTGATTCTGTCCAAAGGTGACAAGATCTGCTTCCAGCCCCTCTAAAATTCACTAAATTATTGACTATTTGTTTAAGCCGTACACAAAAATGTTTTAAGACAACAGTTTTTGGGGGGCTTATGTCTTTCCCAGAGCAGAGACTCTTTGTGCTAAGCTAACCAGTATGGTACAGTACGGTATTGATAGTCTGGTCATTTGCCATCACGACAACTGGACCCATGACAGAGAGACAGCTAATGCTAGCTCACCCCCTACCTTTACATGATATGGGACAATGACTCAGTACCTGACATAACATGCTCAGACACTAACATGTAGTGTGAGTCAGTGCTAATGGGACATAACCAGGGCTATGTGGGTTTGTTGTCTTGCATCAACGTAGGCTATACAGGGCTATGAAGAGCTTTAAGCTTGCTTACACAAAAAGTGCAAAGAACCTAAAATGCATTTCAACCTCAGTGTCAGTATGATTAGTTACAGTTTGGTGCCCTTCATTTTTATGTTCAGCATTAAATAGGATAATTTATCGGCTTTGGTGCTTCATTTTGGTCTTGTAAATGTATTCAACTCCTTACACCATGAACACGGGTTTGTTTTCAAAGTTATATTCTCAGTGAAAACTGCAGATAACCCCGGTCCCTGTTGGTCAGCCCCAATTCCTGTTTCTCCACATCTCTCGGCTGTCTCTAATTCTGTCTTTCTTGTCTGCTTTCACATCCTATCGCCCCAACTCCTTTTCTCACTCTGGCCTTCATGCCGTCTTTCCTTTGCTTTTCTTCACTTTATCTTCCTCTATCTGTCAGCCTTTTATCAGTCTCTCTGTGTACATCTGCTCCACTCTCATCTCTGTCTCTGCTTTTCAGCTTATCAGCTGCTTACTGTCAGTTTTGTCTGCCTCTCAACTTTTTTCTTTTCTTCTCGAGCATCTGCAACTTTAGCCTTACAAACACCCCCATTTAATCACATGACAGTCATACTATTAAGTTCAAACTTGAGTCACATGATGTTGAGGTAGAAGCATCTTTTTAAGGGGCTGAACACTGAAGTCGGTTTTAATCAGGCTCACCGACTCTTTGTGTAAGAGAGGCTTCATTAATCTCTTTCGTAAAGGGAGGGGAAATGGGAATCATCACTTTGTTCCACGCTGTCTTTCAAGTCTGACACATAAACTCCCACATTAGATACAGGCACGTAAACATACACAGGTTATGTACGTACACACACGCTGTATGGCTGAGTGGAGAAAAGCTGCTGTTTCATAAGCCAGGTCGTGCCAGGTCAGACCCGCCAAACATTTTTCCTCCTCAGCTCGTACCATTCCCACTTCTCTCTTTGCTCTCTGTTGTCTATCCAATCACTGCGTCTTCATCTTATATTTGTCTCTTTCTCACAATCTCCCCAGGCATCTATTCATATTTTTCATGTTTTCTCTGTTTGTTTTTTTTCTGTTTCACTTTTTTCTCTCTTTTCTGTCATCTGATTTGTTTTTTTCCTCCTTTCTATTTTCTGCTTACGTGCCTTTTACAGTCCTTGTCATGGTTCCTTGATCACCTCAGCTTCATATATGTTTATATATAGACTACCTTTATTCTGCTGTAATGGGGCCACTGGGCATTTGCATTAACTCCCTTGTTGAGATACGGTAGCTACTTTAATTGCTCATTTCCATCCGCACAGGTTACGAGGCCACTTGTCATATTATTTGTCTTTTGTCTCTACAATCTACATTGAATAGTGGATATTAGAAAGAAACTCCCATTTACATATAACAGACCAAGTGAATCCAGGTGCAGCTATGAGCCCATATCCTCTTCATGGTTGGGGGATTTTTAGGCAAATGATTTTTATTCTATATTCTATACTATACTCTTCTGATAAATGTGTCATTTTTTCAATTAGTTGATTAAACATTAGTTTGTAAAGGGCAGAAAACGTACTAGAGCTGTGTGGAGTTATTTAAAGAGTCTCTGCTTGCTCTGAGCAACAGTCCAAAACCCAGATTCAGTCAGTTAACCCCTTAACATCAAGTTTCTTTCCCCTCTAAATACCTTTTTTATGTGTCACATATGTATTCTGGATCCATCATTCACTGCTGTATATAAGACTCCCACGCTGGGGTTTTTTGGGCTGCACCGATCTATTAGATAGTCGAAATGATACACAAATTTTATACGCATTTTCCCAAAGTTCAGTTGACATATTTGGTATCTGTCGAAACGTTGGGGGTTCAAAGTTATTTGTGTTTGAACAAAGCCTGGACAAACAAGATAAGCTTGTATTGGCTTTTCTTCCAGGTTGGCTGTGAAAAACCGAAAATCCTTACATTTTAGAAGCTGGAACCATTGTTAGTTTGGCATTTTTGCTTGATAGATTCATTTAATAGTGCACAGCAGATATTTGTGATACACCAAAAAATGTTTTCTCATATTTCTTTGTTCAAAAACTTTTGATGATTTTAAATCCTGCATGTTGTACATCTGTTGGTTACTAGCTTGCAGTCTTCTTCTCCCCTGCCTTTGTTGGCAAACTGCTGCATTCTTGGCACATACTTGCCACCTGTAGGTTAGTGGGATGGTGTGAAACCATTAGCGGGAATGTTTATTGTGTTTTTATGTGCATCCTTGTGTGCTAGACCAGACAAACAAAGTGCAAACCCACATTAAAAGACTGGTCCATAGCTATGCTAGAAGTACTCCACATGGGATCCTTTGATTAATGTTTTAGAAGTTAATTTTCTATCAATAAATCATGTCAGCGCTACATTATTTACTTGAGCAACACTCTAAATCCTTCACTCACCAACTGCAGCTGTTTCAGGATAAGAGTGTCAGCTTAAAGGCCTGAATCTAAAACGCCTGCGCTGTCCCCTCACTAAACCTTAATGTCTTCTCATGTCCTCCTGCCTGCCTTTTGTTTCTCTCCTCTCTTTTAACTCTTCTTTATGCTTTCTTGTGTATCCCTACATCCCCTTCTATTTCTATCGTCTTAAGGGATGTGAGAATGTTTTTAAGAAACAGCCAGTCCCTTAGAGGGACCCTGTGGCGTTTTTTAAATGTTGATTTCTTTCATCAGGCGTTGCCAGTGACTTGTCACCTAGTGGGATGCAGCTCTCATATAGGCACTACATTTAGCTGAGAAATGTCTTAAGCGTTTAAAAGAGTCTTAAATGCCTGGAGGACAAGCCACTTGAAACACAGACAATAGCAGGCTAATTCTAGACGTCTTACGTTTTAATACTTTCATGTTGTTTTCTTATTTCTTTGTGTGAATTGTGCTGTCCTGTGAGGAATTACTGTATCGTTTTAATATGACTAAACCTCAGTGACAGTGACTGGATGACTACAGTTTGGCCTATATGTACATTATATATTGCACTGTATATGTCTGTACACTATATGTGGAACTGTATCGACTTACACACTGCCAACACACTGTTTTTGTGTCTCTTTCTTAGTTGTCAGAAGCCAGGGACAAGACACTTGAGGGTTTGAATCGAACGGTTGAATACAAAGAGCTAAAAGGCAAAGACCACTCAACTGTGGAACTGGTCAAGAAGATTGAGCAGGTACAAAACAACATTACAAGAACTCTGTGTGTATAATAGCATTGCCAACCAGCCCTGAACATGGTATCTCTTTATAGAATTTAGGTCATATTTCCTTTATTTTTTTCCCTTTTCTTTTATGACACTTTTATGAACTATGTAGGAGTAAAAAAAAAAGGCCTTAATCACTTTGTAACTATGCATGTAGCTGGAGGTGAATCTAGCAGAGAGCGAGAGGCAGGTGCTGGAAAGAGAACTCCTTGTGGACCAGGTGACCCGGCTCTCAAAACCACTCAGCGAGCAGGCTGAGAACTGCCAACAGGACAGACTCTCATTGGCGAAGAAGGTAGTCAACAACTTCCTCTTGCACACATGCAAAAACACTTGTTATATCACTTCATTCAGTCTAGTTTTTTACCTCAGTGTGTCTCTCTTAGTTTGAGGGGGCATGTGCGGTCCATGTGAGGAGCACGCAGAGTGGGCATTAAGGAGTTCAACGAGCATTACAGTTTCCTCGTACTCTCACTTGCTCTGTCTCTGTCTCTCTCTCTCTTCCTTTCTCCTTGGCTCTCTCTCTCTCTCTCTCTCTCTCTCTCAGCATTTATAAATAGCTTCAAGAACAAGGTTCATTACATGTAATAACTTGTGGAAGCATTTAATGATAATATGAAAATCTACTGACTAGACGCATTTATGTACATGTATGCAACTACAGGTACAGTAGAAGTCATATTGGATGATTAGGTTCACAACTTGCCTTTGTGTATCAGAACATTGTTTATGTGTTTAAATGCATTCAGTTCGAAACTCATCTAATCTGTGTGTGTGTGTGTGTGTGTGTGTTATCTACTTCCAGTTAAACAAGCTCCGAACTCACATAATCGACACCAACCACCGTTTGATGGCCGTTTCTGCAGAACTTTCAATGAAGCAAGCTGCTGCTTTGTCTCTCCAACAAGAAATCAAAGAGAAAGAGCACCAGGTCAGAAATCGGCTGCACATTCCCCCCTCAGTCCCCCACTGTCTTTTCCATTATTCCTGTCACTCTCCACTGACCGCGATCGAAGACAGCAAGAAGTGTCTCAGAAATGTCTCACTGTGTCCCATCTTTCACATCAAACTCGTGTGTTTTGCTTACTTGCACAGTAAAACGAATCCAGGGGTAAACACAGGGAGACAAAATAATATTCAGGAATAATTTTAATGAGATTTAAAAGAAACAAAACAATCAAATTAATTAATGCTAACAGAATAGATCAATAAGGAATCTGGATTAATATTTAGCAATGGTGTAGAACATTGATCCCACCACAAGCAGTTTTAAAAACAGGTTATCACCACAGAGTTTACACAGCAGCTGTTCTGGAGTTTTTGATCACATTACATGATCTTCCTCTACATATGACGTTTCCGAGTTGTCCTGGAGATGTAGATGTTTTTCTGAGCACCTTAAGGACTTTCCGCCCCTGTTGGTGCTACAAGGCGCTATAAGACATAAGATCCAGAAAAACTACTGAGTGGACCTTGCAGTGAGACTGATCAAGAAGGAACTTTTAATAACTGAAAATAGCACCAAGAAAAGTTTTGTACACAAAACAAATAGCAAAACAAATCCCATTAGCCATTAAATGCTCCACTATGTGCTCAAAGACTCCATAGAACTGAGGGAGAGAGAGTTGTGGGTTTGTCACTAGAGGCGTCCCCTTTCACATTACTCATAGTAATTAAATCCATTGTTAATGTAAAATATTGATTAAGTGCAGCTTTAAGGTAATCATTTAGTTAACTTTGACAGTCAAAGTCTGCATGATTGCACTGAGAAAGTTCAAGTTAAGTAAAGTGAACTCCTACAAATCATATATTATGTTTACAGTTTCACTTTTAACTTAAAATCCTGCAACTTTATTTAAGATACATTTCCATTCAGAAGTGAACAGGCAGTACTTAACTAATCATGTCACTTGATTTTGATTGACATCAGCCATCCACACCATTACTATCATCATTCTGTTACATTTTCCTGTTGAGTTGGAGGGAAAATAATCAACCATTATGGTCTTTGTGAGTCGTAAAGGAAAGCGAAAAGCCGTCAGCTAAGTCATCATTTAACCGAGAAATTCTGAATTTCTGACTCTGGTTTGAACAGAAAGTCTAAGTCCTCTGTCTCAATAAAAAATGAAACTACAAAAGAAAATGAGAGAATTCCCCACATGCCTTGTAAATCATTCAAGAGATGTGTGTTAATAACCTGAAGAACCCCTGCAGCTGATGTATGCCTGCAGTGCGCCGCAGACACAGCTAGAAAATGCAGAGGCATATCTTTGCCCAAATTCTGACACTAATACGACCATCTGTTTTCGGGCGCAGTTAGAATTGAATTGAGCCAGGATAGTGCAGAGTGGACGGAGTGATAGGAATACAAAGTGAATGTTTCTCGCACTGCCCCTGTGTTTCCAGATGGACAGGTGCCAGCAGCAGCTGGAGCAGGGCCTGCCACCATGCCCTGAGATAGAGGAGGAGTGGAGGAGGATGCTCCGAGACAAGAAAAGGAGACAGAGGGACAAAGAGGAGAGAGAGAGGGTAAAGAAACACACAAAGATCACTGGTCAGGAATTGATTAAAGCACTGAAGGGCAAGAAAAGAAGATAGAGTGACAAAGAAAAAGAAGTGGAGCGGGGGGGCAGGAATCGATTAAGATTCTGAGGGACAAAGGGGACTGCTGTATACCTGAGCATACACAGACAGGAGTGAGCGGAGAACTACCTGTGCACACAGAGACTAGACAGGAACAGGAATAGTTTTTACCACATGCACAAACACAGGACAAGACTGGCTGACAAACCGAAGTAGAGGCTGTCTGCACAAGAAAAAGGCACACATACAGGGATCGGCTGTGTCTGAAACCAGTCCAGCTGTCTGCAGCCTGCCTGTTGTTATACTGATCTCTATTTTCTCACCAGGTTTATTCCTGCTTATAGCCGCCGGCCCAAAAAGACATCACAACACACTGCATGCACAAAGCCAAACCGAAAAAATAGGAGGAAACTGAAATGGTTAAAAAAAGAAAAACTCAGCTACGTATTATAAAAAATTTTTTCAATGTTTTCTACTTTTAGAGTCATTGCCAATCATGCAATCTGAGGTGTTCCTCCTAAAATGCCTAAATGCTGCTTTGGTGAACGATAAGAACAATATATGCTTGTTCGCTGTTTGTATATATTGGCAGTCGCCGGTATTTTTCTGCATTCAAAGCCATTATTCCTTGTTTTTGTGTGCACTCCTTAGATCACATGCCAGCGGATAAACTGTTCATATGCATGAGAAAATCGCCATCTCTTTGAAGTCACATTTAGATTTAGGCACAGTGCATTTGCATGCTGTTGTGGGGTGAAAGTCAAAGGGAGGACTGTAGTGTCATAAGGACGTGTGCACACTGGAAGATTTTTTTTTTCCCAGCAGGAGTCCACCATGGTTACAAATTGATCCATCAACCATATTGGGTTCAAATTAATTCTGTCAGCCGTTGTCAGTATCCTACAAGTCATATTTAAAAGGAGCAAAGTAAGTTTTCTAGACTTCTTACTCCGTTAATAAAAACATATATAAAACTACAGTTCCCAGCAACAAATATTTAGCCATTTGTAGAATGGAAAATATATATGTGTGACCTGTTTTTAAAGATTTATCTCTTCAGTAGGAACAAATGGGCTGGGGGTTGAGAGCAGCAGACAGGGCAGGGTCAGAAAGTATCGAGTATGAACTAATGCACAGAGGGGGTTTTTAATGTTTTTATGGCATTTCTTGTCATCAGCAGTAGTTTCCTTTTATGTTTTTTATAACAGGAAAAACAGCTTTTATTTGATGTTGTGACCCGAACATCCTGTTGGTGTGTCAGAGTCATCTGAACAAGTGCAGCTTACTGTGTCTCGGTAATATTGTATTCCAGAAACACAACATCCTGTATAACAAACCCAGAGCATCTCTAGGATCACTAATCTCTCTAATGTTTATTCTCAATTACTGAATTAATATGGAGAAAACATCATGCACTCAGATGTTCACTGGTGCCCTTGCATTTGTCTTGAGAAGGTAAAAAATAAATTGCAAGATTAATTATTCCATTTTCATGATTAGAATTCAGGAAAATGAAATTTTAACTATTTAGTCCAAGGTCATGCAGTCTTATATCAAATATTAAAACTGCCTCTGGTGTGTGTGTGTGTGTGTGTGTGTGTTTGTGTGTGTACAGCTGGCTGAAGAAGAGGAGTGGAACCAGTTGCCTAATGGAGAGTACACCACGGCCGAGACCCGACCCAACGCGTACATCCCCCAGACCGACGCGCTCCCTCTGCCCAAACCCTACGGAGCCCAGCCCCCCTTCAGACCCTCCCAACCAGGAGCCAGCATGAGACACATCCGCAAACCAACGCTCAAACCCTTAGAGATATAGAACAACAACACACACACAAACTCGTGCCGGTTTGGTTCACGTCTTGTCCTTCAGAAACTTTTAATCTCCACGTGAGGGATCGGAAATTTAAAAAGCAAATGAGCATTTTTAAAGAATGTTTTCCAGCGGAGTTCAGCGATTTGGCTGATTCCGGCCCCCTTCGTCCACCCTCCTCCTCCTCTCTGATTCTTGTATATTTTTGTGAGCTCACTGTCCAGAATACCACTGCTGTTTTTGTCATGTGCATCTGGTTGTAATTTTGTTTCCTTTTTACTTTTTTTTTACACTTACTGGCAAGAGCTTGTTCTCATTTGCTGTAACACTAAATTCTGTAGGAGAGTGGAAGGGAAGACAGAGGACACGGGGGAGATTAAGTGTGTGTGTGTATTGTTACATCATGTCCGCCAATAAAAACTTCTGTATTATTTCTGTACTTGGCAACACACCATTATTGTCTCACTACCTTTATCTCAGATAGGATTAATTAATTTCTATGGGATAACTCGTATACTTCAGTCCTGTTGCCATCTCATCCCCCGCACATGTAATCTTTTCAGCTGATGAACACATTGCAATGGGTTTAAGCTCTAAGCTAGGCTAAGAGTGCCTGCTTAATGCCTGAAATGATAAATGTAAATACAGAGAGGGAGATCAGGCAATGAAAGAGCATAAAGAATGACGAGAGAGGAGAATTTTAAATGAAGAGGAACGAGAGATGGCAGCTGGAAAAGGTTAAGAGTTATAGAAAATGATGAAAGCGGAGCTCTAAATGTGGCGGAGAGTTCAGAGTTGGTTACTAGTGACCAAAAACAAAGTCACTAGTCTTTGAAGCTTCTAAAAAACTTACTGGAAGTCGTTTTATCTGTCGATCTTGAGCTGGGGGTGAAAGCAGTTCTGGTGTTGGCCAGCTTGTTTTGCTGCATGTTCACAGAATGTGTATGTTTGTGAAGTTCATCTGGGGACGATTACTCTGTACACACCAGCGGTTCGCGATGCAGTTGCTCAATTACAGAGAAAAAAAAGAGAAAATTTAAGTAAGAATGTGATCAGAAAGTATGGGCACGTTGTTTACGAGAAATAAACATCCAAATATAGTTGCAAATTGGTGCGATCTTGATATTTAATATATTTACTGTCGCAATAATTAGTGAGCTTCCCCTCCCACACACGAATCAGTTGGAACACCATTGAGAGTGCATTAAAAAGTAATGGATGAAATAGGATATAATAAGGATAAACAGTGGAAATAGTGTAAAAGTAATGGATAAATCCTTGAAATATATACCGGATTAACAGTTTAAATACAGTACTTAGCTGAAAAAGAATTCATAAACAATGTATCCATTATTTTTAGCTGATTATTTAAACAGTTAAAGGGCTAAAAGTATGTTAATGGATACACGGTTCAAAGCTAAAAGTTAAGAATAAAGAGTTGAAACTGTTTGCCAAAAGTAAGTTAAAGTATAAACAGTTGAGACATTTGCAATAATAGAAGTAAGTAATAAACTGTGTGATGAATGGCTACTGAGCTCATCTGATAGGGATGCGTCAGACACAAAAACATCTGATTAAAACCGAGCTTAGTTTGCAGTGAGAGAAGGCAGCGAGTTTATCTGATTTTAAAGCAGGCCTATCCACCCAGTGATATATATGTGTGCGTGTGTGCGCGTGTGATCATCCACTGCAAGCTGATGGCGAGAGCTGTCATATAAACTTAGCCCCCAACTGTTTGTGCTTATTAGCCGGCTACATAACACTGACTGCATAACAGAGTGCGCAGGAAGCAACAGAGAGGGGAATGAGGGATTTATTCACATTTAAAAGAGGAGTTCCCACAGAAGAGAAATGATTTGAGACGACCATAACAGGGTGGTAAAGGCGTCGATGTAGGTACTGTGAAACAAAACACGTATCGCATGATGGGTGTGTTCTTCAGTAAATGTGACTCATCATGTGTGATGACTGATGCTGAGTTTGTTTTCTGATTTCAGTGAATCAGTGAGCACACTTCCTCCTCTCCAGAACTTATTTTTTTTGAGCTACAAACTATTTGAAAACCCTGAAGCAGTTGCACCGTGGAGCCGAGGTAAATTACGAAATGATGAGTATCAGAGGATATTCATTGGAAGCAACGTGAGCCAAGGCCTGACTGACGCCATGTTTCTCAAAAGTACGACAGCAATCAAGAAACATACAGTAAAAATCTCTTTATTCACAATTCATCATACAAAACTTTTTTTTGTGTAAACATAATAAACCTTATGAAATCCCTTTTTTGTTTTTTTGTTTTTTCTTCAGAGGAATCTTAATTTCTCGAATCAAAGCTCGACATGAGATGTAAATGATCTCCGGTGTTTAGTCACAGATGGTGCCAACATTCAGCTGCCGTGAAAAGGATTACGAAAGCTACACACAGCCCCACTACCAAAGAATTTCTCCACTTACAGTTAGAGCTCAGTCATGATTGAAGGCACATGGGCGCATTATTCAAACCAGACGTTCGAGCGTGTGTGTGTGTGAGCAGGAAGACTAAAGAACGTCAGGCTTTTCTTTGTTATTATTTCCGTATTATCCACACTGCACTGTCTTTGTTTGATTTTATGGTATGTAAAGCATTTTGTAGGCAGATTTCGCAATGTGCCATATGAATAAAGTTACTAAAGTCGGTTGAGTCCGCCCTTTCCCCTTATGTATACGAAAGCTGGCTGATCAGATTAATCATCCTCATGATACTTTTTCTTTGGTCAGCTAGTTCCTGATTTAAAGTGAGACGCAATAACTTAGCTTAAAGGAAGTGACAGTATCACGTTTTTTTAACATAATAAGCAATACCAAAACCCTGAGTGTACGGAATTTAGCAATAGTGTTTTATTGCGTATGAATCCAACTTTTTCTCAAGTAAGAATGTGTTATTTTGTCTTTTAAATAGTCTCAATCACACTAGTTACAATACTAGTAAGCCAAAGTTTTTATATTTCTATTTATTAAGGTAAGATATCATTTTGTACTTAGAATGTGTTACTTCTTTTAAAAGTCAGCCCCTCCGGGAAGTTGGGATGTTGCGATCACAACAATGAATGCAAATTCAACAAATCCCTGTTGCAATTTTGTCCAGTCACCGCAACTCTTCTGCAAATGTGACCAGTCATTGTCAGTCATTGAGCCCCACGTCACTAGACTCACTGCATTGTTCCTGGTTACAAAGACGCAGACGTGTGTGAACAAACGTTTAACATTTACCCTCCAAACAGAGCGATTTTATTCTCACTGGAACAAGTTGTCTTTGATTTTTTAACAAATTATGCTATTTATTATTCATAAATATTTTTGCAGTTATCTCTTTCTCGCTCAATTTCATTGCAAAAAATACCAAAGAACAACCTTAAAGCAACAAGAGAAGCTGCAGTGAAAGCCTGGGGGGGACTGAAAAGTGAAATAGTCTCACTTTAAATCATGATTTGGCCACTTTTACACTATTTTTAAGTTCTTGTAGGATTGCTTTTGTCTTGCTGATGTTTTAAGATTTGATAACTGGGGTTCTGTAGAAAAACACATCTAATGTATCAAAGTAAGGTATCCTTTTGTACAGAAACGTGTATCTTAACAGCACCAGAATCAAAACATTGAAATGACAAGCAGCCCTTATTGTCTGACATCCAGCAACAAACAGTGAATTTCCTGAATATTTCAGACATGTTCGTGATATTCCTCAGCTTTAAACTCCTTCTGGCTCATCTGCTTGTCTTTATGAACACATCCTGTCAGTTTGGTTTTGGTATGAGGTAACAATCACTGAAGAGTAAGAGTTTGCGTTTATCTTTACATTCAGTTTTCAACATCTAAATATCCGTTTGGGGTTGTAATTTTAAATCTTTGCCGGTGTCACTCAGTCTCCCGGAGTTATTCAGCTGCAAAGATTCTGTCTAACTCGTGCTTAAAATCAGATTTAATGCACAGCGGCCACTGACGGACCGTATCAAGCTACTCCGTCTTCGAAGGCCTTTTTTTTGTCAGCACGTAATCAAGTTGATGGGGTGCAGCGCAGCATTACAGGAAACACAGGAGGATAAACAAGCGCGTTTGATTTATAAATACTGTTTGCGGTATTTGACATCGGCGTTCATAAATTTGCGCGAGAGAAAGCGGAGAGGTCGCGGAGGCACTGGAGAGAATTGTTGCCGCCACAGAAATATGAGTTCATATAAATAGCTGCCTGCGGTTATTGATTTCCACTCAAACTCTGAAAAGCATGTTTTCCCAAATTAAATCAAACCACCAGCTGAAGATCCAAACTGTGTCCCCCTGTTGGGTTAGTATTTTTGATACTCAATCATTGTTGTGTTGTGTAAAAAATAAGGTGCTGCTGTGATTTTTGTATTTACTAAACAAGAGGTGGGGAAAAAAGCAGGGTCTATTTTTTCCCCATCCGCTCTGCCTCCTATTCCATCTTCCCTTTCTGGGCGTCTCCATCCATCTGTCCCTCCGCCCCACCCTAATTTGTCATCAAACAGTTGTTTATGAGCGCTCTGACTTTCAATCCCCCCCCATTCATCTTTCGCTTCTCGCCCTCCATCACCCAGCCATCCGTTACTTGTCCTCAAGGCCCAGTCAATGATGACTGTTCCCTCAAACGCATTTTCCCCCTCATCTGTTTACCACCGTAATCCATCCATCCACTGTCCCTCCCCTGCTCCTTCCGCTCCCATCCACATCCTTCATTTTTCCTCAAAGCCCAGCTGTATTAGTGTCTGTTTCAGAGCCGTCTCCTCCACGAACCGGGCGTCCACGTTCTCCTGCTCCTCGAAAGGGTTCAGAGCTGCAACACAGGAAAGAGGAGTTAGAGAGAGATAAGGCTTCTTATAGAGAATATAACACCAGACAACCACTTCATTTCCTCGCTCCTTCATGATGGGAGGCTGCTGAGTTCTGAAGCGCACACGCTCTGTCTTAATCCTCCAAAGGCAGGATACACACACACACATACATCACACATACACTACCTTGTTCTTCTATATCAGAGAGTATTTTTGCCAGATAGGTAAGAGGCAGAAACTCAGGTCTGAAGCCCGGCTTGTCTCTGCTGGTGAATGCAAATCCCTGAGGAGGAAGGGAAAAAGGCAGAAACATAACTGTGGGTTCTGTTCTGTTTCCGGGATGCAGCACAGTCGAAACAAATCTGCAGCAAATCCAGATACAATTCACATCGGCTCACTTGTTTCCTCTTATGGATGAAGTTGGCTGCAGTTTAACTTTTTTTTTTAGGGGGCAGCCCATACATTCTTATCCGGCATCGCGCGGGAAAATAATGCTACTAGCTCTCCACGCCAGACCGCTAGCCAGTTGGCTGACTGAAACTGGCCAATAGGGTCGCAAAGTGGATAGATGCTGCGTTGGCTGTACAGCTGGGGGGTCACACATTTTATAAAGAAGGCCAAGGAGGAATGTCACATTGCAGGAAAAGACACATTTTTTAAGGCCTGCGAGTCCAAAACCCAAACATACTGAATTTAAAAGGATATAAAGATGAGAAAAACCTAGCAAATGTTTGGCATTTTAACTAATCTATCTGCTACTTATCCCCAAAAACCTTTAAAATGAATGACTTTTCTATTATTATTTATTATTGTGAGCAGCTCAAAGCACTGTTGTTGCTAGATAATAGGGCTGTGTATTGATTAGAATTTGGCAATATGATATGTATCACAATGCAGGGGTTACAATTCAATATATTATACAGTGTAAGCAGAGGCAACATACTGCTTTTTTTAAAATCTGATTTTAGGAAAACGGTTTACTTTTACTTTACTTTTATTATGCAACCAGAACAGTGCTGTATTTGTCTTGTTTTATGGTCCCTGTAATAACCAAAATCATAGCCCTCACTCACTGCATTCAAAACACAGCTGTTTAACAACTGGGGGATTTACCACAAAACTCAATACAATATTTTTGAGTTGGTACAATATCACAAAACAAAACATTACGATATTTTTCGATATTTTCATACACATTTTCTTGATAAACAACTAAATTTCTACCAACTAACCCTTTCAGCAGTACATTTAATTTCACACTCGTGTTTTCTGGAGGATTTTCATTAACGTCTGGGAGATTTTCCCTCATTGTTCGTTTTCGCTGGCCTGCAGTGCTTTCAAAGGGAGAAAACTCACTGCAGCATGCATCAGGCGCTGTATTGTGTTACCTTGTTTTTGTTGTGTTTCTCCAGCAGAGTTCTGACATAATCTCTGGAGATTGAAGCTGAACTGACTGGATGATCCCACATGTGGTAGATTGTCTGCTCCATAGGCTACACACACACACACACACACACACACAGAAACAGAAACAATAGAGTTTTACATTTTAGGCATGTAGCTTGTGTTGTCATGAATAAAAATCATCCCTGAAGCATGTGAACATCTGTCCCTTTCTATTCGCCAACTGGAACTCAAAACCATTATGAGGAGTTGACTGCTAATGAGGGATTACAGTGAAATCTCATTTTTCAGTGTTGTGAAATGAACACCGCGGCGATAAATAACACTTAGGCAAACAGAGACTGCGGTTGTGGCTCACAATAAGAAAGAACCTAAGCCTTTCCTCGAGGCTGCTTTCTGTCCAGCTTCAAAGACGCTGCCAAGCTGACACAGAGTTGCCGAATCACTCCAGGGATTGTGTTATTATCAGAGGTGAGAAGAAACGAGTTGAGACGAGCACAACAAGTCCTCAAGTGTATACGTATATTCGTATTATTGGTGCTTGGTACTTTTGCCGGATTATTAATCTCACTCACAACTCGTCATGCAGCTGTTTGTTTATGTTGACATATGCAACAAGAGGTCAAGTATATATAACTTTGTTTTGATGGGCCTTGTAATAAGAATCATTTGCTGAACTTTCAAAAAGAATGCAATGTGAACATGATGACCAAATAAAGTGATTCAGTGCTTGTATTATCGAGCTGGAACGCTCAAATATTCTCAAAAGAATAAAAGCTCTCTATTGCAGCGTGGTCTTAAAATCCTTGAGAGGATAAGATATATCTCAGTATTACAAAAAACAAATGCACTCTCATCCAGAAGATGGAAGAAAGTCTCTGCACCAGGATTGAGTTGCACCAGCTGTTCATAAATTCATTACTAACGTTACGCAGGAAAGTCCTTGGTACATTCTTAGTGGCTACAAGCTAGTTTTAAACTAGTCATTTACTTTATCAGGTTGCATCAGTTCTTGTCAATGTCTAATGTCGGGTTTATAGAAAACATATTTAGCTCTGTCATGTTAAAAGTAATCAACTCACTGTAGTAGCATCACAGACTTACAGGTTTAGGGGGGATGAACAATATATTAAACACTGCCAACCCTCAGAAAATGTAGCTCTTACTTTATTTATCTACAATGCATATGCACAGATGGAGAAATATTAGTAGTATTCATGCAATGAGCAGGAATTATGTGATTAGGCTAACAAAGCTAATGCTATTTGGTCATTTAGCAAAATGTTATTGGCATAAAGTTTTGTTTTTGAGGTATTCACATTGTTATCAAACTATTGGGTCAGATGTGTTGTTCCCATTTTCCTTCCTTCCTTTGTCAGTTAAATTCAATTAGTTACACAACATTCACACTTGGACTGGTTACTGGGTGGAAGTACTTTACTTTTTTTTAATTTTTACGTAAGTATGTGGTGCCACCTGTTTTTAAATGAGTAGTAGCCTACATCTCGACTTAGTGAACACTACATTATAATCATGCAAAGGTTGAACTCCCGAAGAGCTGGAGCGACCGGCTCCTGAGCTCCTGAAATGATGAAAAGGTTTACTGGAATTCCATGAGGGTCAAACACAATACAATAACATAACACCCCGGTAATAGAATTACATGGGGTGCTGGGTTTAGTCTAGATATGAATTTCCTACAGTGGGCCAACATCCCCTGTTTTCTAACTCTCTGGGAGTGTGTGTGTGTGTGTTGTACCTGCTAAATCTCTCCTGCCTGCCAAACTCACCCAACAAATGTCTGATGAGCAGGAAACAGAACAGAAACACTAAACACTCAACATTCCTCTGATCACAATGTGGACGAAGCACACACACACACACACACACACACACACGGTTACACAAAGAAATATACGAACACGTGGAAGTTACACAAGAGTTAGGGACACACATAAACGCACACGCACACATTCAACCGCAGTACCTACACTACCCCATTGTCAGCACGCGCACACACACACACACAGACACACCAGCCGGTTACACAAGTGCTCTGCGATTGGCTTGAGGGGGGCTTGAGGGAGATGAGACCTAAAATAACTTCAAACTCTTAATTGGACCAGAATGGGAAGTTTGGGGAGAGAGCCATTCGAGAAAAAGATCAAAACTTCCCCCTCACTAATAGATGGGATTATAATAGCCTCGTGCATTGTTTCACTCCGTATACCATCCAGGCTGAGAGATCCACACCCGACCAGAGACTGGTACATTTCAGCTCCGTCCTCCAAAGTGTGTACGCTCAAAACATGTTGCCATTTGGATGGTGATACGCCAAGAGTTTATTTTTTGGAGCGATTAGACCACATAGAAAAGGTTGAATGAGCTCCTTTTAATCTTTCCCTGTTCGATCAGCTAAACTAAAAAACTCATGTTTTGCCACACACACTCAAACACACACAGAAGTACCTCAGGGAGTCTCTTAAGTATGCTGAACTTCAGTCTCTCATTGGCATCACTGTTGTCCAAATCTAGACACAAAGAGAGAGGAAAAGAGAGGAGACATGGTGCTAATTACTCTTCTGAAGTAAAAACCGCACACGGGAGGACAAATAATGTCATGTCACACCTTCTGTCTGTGCCTGTGTATCCAAGTTAATTGCTCAAAATCCTTTGAAAGGAAACATGGGATTAAAGAGTTATTAGTTTCTTTTTCTGGAGACATGGAAGATAAAGTAAATGCAAATTAAATTAATAAAATCACAGATTGCTTTAACTAATATAAATATTCTTGCCATATGCTGATTTCCCGATATAAAAAAACCATTAGAGGGATATTTCATTTTCATAGAAAACAGACAATGTTTCAGTAAACAAGGCTTTACATGTGATCGCCCAAGCAAAGAGGATTTTTATTTTGGCTTTAAGAAAGTTCAGGCAGGTGCACTGTTTGTGTTGAAATCCATCAGTACAAGGAGGAAGAAGAGCAGACAGCCCCTGACATCCTTCGACCTGGCAACTCGCTTCGGCAGCTCCTGGACGACTCCCAGTTGCTCAACAGCATTCTGGGAGTTGTAGTTCATCTACGATGTCCTAGGCATCCAACCCTGTCTTCGGGCTGTATTGTTATAGAGGAGCAAAAACCGCCCACGCTGACTTCTCAAAATGTGGGCGAACAGATGATGAACTCAAGAGTTGTTCCCAGATTATTAAACTCCTTTCTAAAAAACTTTCTTCACCAACACAGCCCAAAACTGCAGCAGCTGCAAATTATGATCTGTTTTACCCTCAAACTACCTGAACTAATCCCTGGCAGAAGTTATTAGAAATGCTAGCAGGAGCAGCTTTACGGATGGCAATGTCGGTCAGTTGGTCAGTGCACTATTCGGACTTTTCATCTAGCACCATAACTGGGTCCAAATTTTGATTTGTTGAATACTGATGACATTCTATGCAAATGATGTTCTAATATTCACCATTAAGACGCTGAACATGGTGTATAACATTATACCTGCAAGAGCCTAGAAAGTCTAATAATAGGACTGGATTGCCATTTTGTTTCTCTTCATGATTTATGTAAACTGTTGGAAATTGCTTGCATTTCAGAAATCCGGAACCAGACTAATATTGGTTAGACTGGAAAATTCTAGATGAGCATATATGTTTGTGTGCGTCATTTAATGGAGCAGAAAGTGCACACTTGACCAGACAATTACCATTTACTGATCTGATTTATCCCTGGGGAGGTGACGCATAAAGCCTCACTTCAAAGTCCAAGAAACTTCCTTTTCTCTCACTTTGAAGTTTGAAACCATTTGGCCTCTGTCCTTTACAATAATAACCTTTTTGTCTTTGAGGATCTTTGTTTGTTCTCTTCCTGAGAAAAGAACCATGTAAACTACAAGATCAAGAGTGATGAGGAAGGCCAGATATTTTTATTCTGTTGATCTCAGTGCCAAGTTACAGTGTTTAGCCTCTGAACAATGTACTTTTTTTCATGGTATGAAATCCACACCGAGACATGCAAAATACATAATATCAGTGTCTTTGAGAGAGGCACTGAAACCCCATAGTAACTAACCTTAGCCTCTGACCTCTCTGTACATACAAAGTTCCTTATTTCATGTGTCAAAGTAGTGAACCTTCCCACATATTCACCAGCAGAGTGAGGTTCAGTGGTCACAAGTTGATTACTTTTCAGCCGCAACCATGAATTCTGTTCCATCATATAGCACTTATTAAATTAATAAATCAGACGTCAAATAAAAACAAACACATGAACTCATTAGTATAAAAATACTGTTTTTTGATTCAGAAGTCAGTTTCTACTTTTCCAGACGACACTTTTATTGGTCATTAAGGTCACTTTTGGTGTTCCCAGCCTCTCTTAGCATCACCAGCTGTTACCTAAATTTAGCCTGCTAGCTCTTGTTAGTGAAAAGTGAAAGTGAAAGTGAACAAAACTGAAAATGTAAAACTAATACTATAACTGATAAAAACTCAACTGAAACGAGCCCGCAAAACTCACTCTGGAAAGTAACTAAAACTAAATTCGTTACTAGTGCAGTTAATGTTAGAATCACTCCACTTCCCCAAAAGGAAAAAAAAAGTGTCCATGGGTTGTTGTCAGCTCTTATTCTTTTCGCTTTCCGCGGCAAAAATACATTAGCTATTCTATTCTAAAAAGTACTGACCACAGAGAGCAGTCACATATCAAACTAAAAATGTCCATTTCATTTGCCAGGTTCTTCACCCCAAAAAGTGGAACAATCTGGGACGGACCTGGCAGCGTTTTTTTAATATTCACCGTGTGGATACTCGGAGCCCTGGTGGCCCTTCCAGTTGTGTTTGTACCAAGAGAGGTGAATCCTGAGGTTGAGCAGACTGACAGACGTTCTTGCAAGAATCAGAGGATCACACCGGGGCTCGAAGCAGTCTATATCTTATTTATAGTTTTCAGCTATCTAGTCTGTTGAATTTCTACCTGCTACTTGTTAGAGGTCTCAATGGAACCCAAATGCCAAACAAGAAACAGCCTGGAGTTAGGAAACTCGTCATTTGAATAATTGCTGTTTCTCTCATTATTGGCTGTTTTCCTCTCTTTCTACGTGTGCTGTATGTGGCTGAAGTTTTCACAGCATCAGACGAACTTCTTCTGGTTAGGAAGATGCTGATGTTTGGGGAGTGTTTTTACTTTTTCACTCTCTGTCTGAATCCTTTCCTGTATTTCCTCGCCTCACTTCACTGCAGGAGTGAAAGCTACACTAAGAAAAGGAATCTCCTCATGCCCCTTAATGACACCTAATATTATCCCTACATAATGAATGATTTCACATTTTAAACTTCTTTATACTAATGTGGTTTCATACACAGCAAAATAATGCTAAACTCACAATGATGGTCTTGGAAATACTGAATACAGTATGTCCCATTTGTATTTACTGTGCAATCCAAGCTGAATTTATCAACTTAAAGACCCGATCTGATCCAAATCATTTAATTCTGAGTATCTGCCAGTACCGAGTCCCAATCCAATACTTTTTTTTAGATAATACAGGTGCACATTATACACTTCAAGTAAATTAAAGTTACTAAAATCAATCCATTGTACATGCCTGACAATTGAATAGCTCTGCATTGCATTAAGAAACAAAACGCCTGCATCGTTCCTTAATGGGTTTTTTACATTTTTTTACACAATAAAATATAAAAATAACAAACCCTCTGTAATCTTTTTGCCTTGTCGCAGTGTTTGGTGCTTCAGTGCAGCCTTTGTGTGAGTTACCTGAATGAACTGTCTGTATTCTGTAGAGTGTTTATTTCCCTTCTCTATACATCTTTTACGCGGATTACATTCATTAATTACCCTTATTGGCTTTTTGTTTGCGGGACTTGTTGTTGCACTCGCAGTGGCGTGTTGAGCGAGGCTGTGTCAGATATATACCGCTCTCTCACACACAGAGTTGCATTCAGAATCACATTCTTTGTGATTTACAGCAGACTTAACCAGCTGAATGAATGAATAACAAGACTTAAAGGCTCCACTAGCAGCTCTGTGAGGCTGTTTGCTGTGGTTTGAGCTAAATGCTAACCACAACCTGTTAACATGCTAACCATGTATTGGGGGAAAGAAATTTAGTCTTGACCAGATGGTGGCGCTACATGAAAAGTTATGGGGTCAGTAAAGTTATTTCAATTCATCCTGAGGGGAACATGAACGTCTGCACCAAATTCCACGGCAATCCATCTCATAGCTGTTGAGATATTTCAGTCTTATCCTCATACATACACATATTGTATTTTTTTCTTATAAAATCACATGCAAAAAAGAAAAGCTTTAGCACTGTGTGTTCGAGCACGTATGTACCTGTCATGAGCCGAGACACAAAGGTTTCAGTGAGCTGCAGGACACCGTGGTCAATGTACTGGAGGAAGGTGTGATGAGGGAGGCAGCGCACAGCAAACACTGCTAACAGGGTGTGATAGCCTGGAGGAGAGAGAGAGAGGGGGTGGGGGTAGGACAGATGGGAAAAAATAAGAAGAGACATTTGGAAAGTAAAACAAGACTTAGAGTCAACCATGCTACAACTCAGAGAAATCCTAATGTCAATATGCTCACACACACTGATGTGATGTTTAGCAGGTATAATGTTCACCACATTCACTGTCTTATTTTTTGCCAATTACCAAATGTTAGCATGCTAACAGATGGTGAAATTCAGCAAAGGCTGATGGGAATGTTTAGTCATACACATAAAAAGTATTATGCAATGCTGCTGGTGTGGCTAAAATGATTTAAATATCTATTAATTAATAAACTATTGTGCAAACAAACATACAACTGACTGCACTTTTGGCAGCAATGTCTAAATGTTTTATTCAACTTTCATTTACTAAAAGGGAACAGGTGTGCAGCCTTGCCTCAGATAGGATCCTACCCAACAAACTTTTATAAGCGAGTAAAATCATGAGATTGCGTAACAGACACCCTGGACGCAAAAAATTGGAAAATGAATTCAACTTATTGAAAATGTATTCACACTGTTTTACCCGTGTCTGCACTATGCTAATGTTTAACATATTTTTGGTTACATTAGTGCTAAAGAGAGCGGGTCTGTATGTGCCAACACACATTGTTTTTCTGAGTGAGACAGAGACAGACTGGATTATAACAGCTGAAAGTGTTGTTTGTGTGTGTGTGCGTGGATGGTACCAGGTGGGAGGGGCAGGCAGAGACCTCTCGTGGCTTCCAGGATCCGAAACATGAAGTGAAACACGGACCACTCGGCTGGACTGCCCCGCTGTGTGCTGGAACACACACACACACATACAGAAAAATTCGGATTTGGGAATGTTCCGTGAGCGCACACGTGAGGAGGGGTCATTGACAATTTTGCACATGTGGACACACACACAGCGGGGAAGCGATGGGGTCCGGAGCACACATGCGTGAAGATGAACACACACATTCTGTCAGCGCTTTATGCTTTACGTTACATTAGTTAGAAACACAACTTTACATTCTGATGAGGGAGGGCTACTCACAAGCACAAAACATGAGGGCCGAGTTTATGCTTCAGCCAGACTGATTCCAGCATGTGTCTGATGAGCTCCAGCTATACACACACAAACACACACAGAGACACGCACATGTTAGTGCTTAGGGAAGGAGATGCTCGATTAAAGTCAAATGAAACATTTTCCTCGAGTCACAGGGCTGGAAATTTTGCACAAAACAAGCATCTTGTCTGAAAACATGCAACTTGGACATATGTTTCTGTTATGATGAGGTTTTCTTCGTAGAAATGTGTTCTATGATCAGTTTCTTCACTTCCCTTCCCCTTTTTTTTTTTCCTACTTCCCATTTTCATTTCCACTGAACAAGAGCAATGTAGTGGATCAGGGCGTGAACGGCACGCACACATTCACACTCGACCACATCATTTCACCACACATCTGTCAGCATCCGGGGTGAATCCAATGTACCTGACTCGTCCGAAATGTGCCCGGTGGCATGCCGGAACACGCGCATACACACTCCCTCCCTCCCTCCTCCCCACAAATCACCACTCTCTCATCTGCTGTAGAATAACAGGAAGACGATCTGCCTCATTCACATCCTGCACAGCAGTGGGAAACCTCCACCGAGCCCCTCCGAACAGCAGCACTGACGTCCTCCAGTGACCCCAGGATGGGAATTTCAATTAGCTACACTTATGTAACGGACAAAAATAAAAGTGGATTCAAAGCCAAATGCAAAAAAACAAAAACACTTTTTACACATCTTTTATTAAGTTTATTACAATGGGAAAATTATAAAATTGTATCTTTTATAGGCTAATTAGGGGGATTTTTAAGCTCTTATATTTAACTAATGAGGTGTTTCCTCCATATTTTCCATTTATTTCCCCATCATGCTGACATTATTATTTTTTTTTTAAATTAATTTCAGTTATTCAGATTTTTTTTCTTTACTTTTTAAGTTTTTTAAAAATGTATTTTCATTTGATCTTTTAGTTTAAATTGTTTCATTGATATTATTGATATTATTATTGTTATTATCTTTTTTCCTTAATGGGGGTTCTTTTACACGTATTGTTTCTATTGTTTTCCATATGTTTAGATTTGTTTATTACATTATCTGTGACAAAGTGTTGAGGGAAGCCAGATGTGAAAACTCTCACAGTGGGATTGAAGCGTGTACTTACAGTATTTACTTGTCTGTGTGTTCGACTGTTTGATCCTAAGGAAAACTGCTGTGTGGTCGATACACGCTGGTCATGTTTTTAATCACATAGCCACAATAACAAAGAAGTGCTGCTTGATCTTTTTTGGGAATCCATTCCCTCTCTTGTGGACAGTGGTTACCTACGCCTTCCCGCCTTACCTTCCAGTGCTTCTATTAATTTGTTACATTGAATTTGTCATATCGATTTAGAAACCTAGGGGTTCATTTTTCTGCCTCTGTCAACACAGAAGAAATACTCGAAACAATTCCTCCACTGGTCTGTTAATAGTATCTTTTAAATGTTCGATGCATTTTAACAGTTCCCAAAATCAGATATTCACTGTTTGACAAAAAAAGGTGGCAACTTTTTGAAAAAAATAAATTATTCAAATTGAAATTCTTTCTTTTCTAACTAACATCTCTTGTGCTCGGTGCTGATGTAATCCAGGCCCCTGAAGATCAGTAAAAAAAGGATAAAAAAATGTAGCTGGGATGTTTTTGTGCTGAAAACAAAGTCACACAAAAGACAAACAAGTGATTTAAAGCACAGTATTCCTGCATGGATTTCTATTAGAATAAAATCTGGAATCAGCGATTTGTCTTAATGAGCCTCGGCCCGACAAAGAGACGGAATTTACTCAGTATGGCTCCCCTGTTGAGACAAAGTTTAATAACCTTGGGTATAGAATAAGTTTTCTGAATAATTAAACATATTTCAACCTATTTCTATTCACTGCATTACTTTTAATATGTATTCCTGCTTTTAGTCATTCATATTCAGCAATTAGTGGGTTGTTCTTTGCTCTGACATTGGCTATGTTATAAAAAGGAATGCATCACGGTTGTCTGTAGCAACAGGGACAGGAAATAAATAACTATGACAATAATGTGCTCTGGAGCTGTAATGCATCATAGCAGAAGTTTCCTGGCTCTTAAAAGCTGTAATCTATTTCACCCCCAACTTCTCCCCTGTGTCAACGCAGCCATTAGTCTCAATAAGCACCGACAACAGGGGGAGATGTTCTTTATTTGTGGAAGGGAAGTCAGCCCTCTTTGAAACACTACCACCCTGAGTTTTTAAAGCATGAGTCAGCTTGATGCGTAAGCACATCGCCCTGGCTGCCGACTTGTCTTTAAGCGAAAAGTCCCTGAACGCTGTTTCTCATGGGTCTTTGCGTGAGTATGTTTTAATAAGTCCGGCTCCCAGGATGAGAAACTTTTTCACTTTCACTCGGTTGAATAAAGTCAATAACTGCCGTGTTTGTCTGTAGCAGTGGCAATGGCAGAATGATTACACACACGCCCATTTCCATTTCATTCATTCTGAGTCTGAAGGCGCATGTGAAGGATTGTGAGCCTGTGGTACCGAGCTGAGCCGCCGACCCATCCGGCAGTGAGCACGGAGGATTTCTTTCGTCTGTTTTACTTTGTCATTTGCAATTCCATAAAGTCCCATCCTGTCCCAAGTCCCAAGTCCCAAAGCATCCTGCTTTCTATTCAATTCCAGCCTTACCCTTGGCCTGATTTAATACTGTTGTGTTGATATATGCCGTATGTCTGCTTTCAGCGGCTCCTAGCTGAAGAGATTTACCTCCCAGGAATACTAAAGACTGACTTTACAGAACCAAGTACCTCTATAGGGTACTGAGGCTGAGAGTGGTTACGTCTTTTCACTTGGTTATGCAGAACCCACCTGCTGCTCTCTGGGTGGATACAAAGGGCGTAGGTCTGGTTTCAGAAGTGGGGGTACACTGAAGTGATATTTATGCACATTTATATACATTTAAATCAATCTAAAGATTAGAACAAAATCTTTTTTTCTGTGGTTTCTATAGTAATGATAGTATGTGGGGTATGTTTGTTTTAGAGGACTGATATGGCGACCTGATGGCTTCCAGCAGCCTCTCTTAACTGAAGAGCGCACATCCATCTGTGAGCTCTGTCAACCGTTTAACTAAAGTGGAAAACTCGCTGCCTTTTCCACTGAGCGATCCTCTCTTTCAGTGTCACTTAACCTTCCCGAAAAGAGTAAGGACAAAATTAAATCAAATTATAACTTTGAAAAACGATGTGCCTTTAAAAAATATAAGCTTCTGGACCTATTGGACTCATAGTCTCTTGACACAAACACACACGAACACACACACACCACACACACACAACACCACACACAACACACACAGCACCCACACACCACAACACACACACACACACTTGGAACATTTGCATAGCTCCAAACCATGGTACCAGTTTGCTAGTCAGTACAACCAGGAGTCAGTCTTCTTCTTCCAGTCGAGGCAGGTGTTGTGCGATGCTCTCGAAGCCTTGTCACTGATCTGCGAATGCAGACAAAACCAGCGAGTCGATTTATTTGTCTGTCGTTTGCAATGTGGTGTGTGTGTGTGTGAGAGACTGGGAGTCAGGCTTTTTGTGTTCTTTGAAGCATACTTGCTGGTGTGCTCAGCAGTGCAAATTAAGTTCACCCTCGCACTTTTCTCCCCGACTACAGTAGTCCAAAATTTATTTAAACCCATGGAGAGAGAGAGCAGAGGGAGAGGAGATACCTGTGTTGATGGGGGTGTAACAGCACAGACAATGAGTTAAGGTCTAAAAAACAGTGTAAGTTGCAGAATGACCTGATATACTTATGCGAGGAAAGTCAAAGAGGGAAGAAAGTGAGAGAGAAGAGTGAAAGGAAAGAAGGGAAAGGAGAGGACAGGGTAAAAGAATGATGAGGAGGGAATAAAAAAAAGATGGGAGGGATATTCTAAAAATAAGCTCAAGAACTTGCTAGCATCTAGCCTGAACTCATTTAAAGTTGAAGCTATCTGCTCTTTAAAACTATGCTGAGCAACAGGAAAAACTGGAGGATATGAAATTGTCAGCAAAACAAGTGTACAGTTAAAAAAAAAGGAAAAGCAGGCAGGACCTTAAGATTGCCTTTTTTTTTTTTTGTTAAGTGTTTGACTTAATCTGAAGCGTACACAGGAATTTCACCTTAAAGATATGACGATCGGAGGAATGGATCGGCTGTCAGCGTTCCACTATGGATCTTAATGGTCTATAACTCAGCCCATGTTAAAAGCAAGAATCAACCCCAGGACTGTTAACTGTTGTATGTCAACAATCTTGGATGTTCAAGGCATCTCAGGAGGTTTTACAATTGAAATTTGGGGGGGGGGGGTCGCGGGGAAAAAAAAATTTTTCCTGCGGCTTCTTTTCCTTCCTTCACTCGTTTCCTTCCTTACTTTTCCCAACCGCTCCAACAACCCACGGTGAGGCGAATTCATCACCCTAAATTCACCACATTCTCTTCATTGATCACGATAACAACAATGAACGTTCCTACACATCAAC